TTTCGCGGCCGGGACTTCCGAGCCCCCGGCTGAACCATGGGCACGAAGCATGAAATGAAACCGGCCCCCGAAACGGCGGGCTTCTTTGGCAGGATTCCGGCCTGTGGAACCCTGGAGACCGGCGGCCCTCCTGGAAACTCCCCTTCCGACCCCGGCACCGGGGCCGGGCTGGATGGGGGTGCGCAGTCCAGGCTTAGGCCGCGCTCCCGGACCGCCCCGAGGATGGGCGCCCGCGCCCCTGCAGCCGCCGGTGCGCCCGCGCGCGGCTGGCCGGACACTCCCCGCTCTGAGCGGCCCGGCCTCGGGATCTTTTTCTTTTTCTTTCTTTTTTTTTTTTTTCCGATTCCGTTAGTGACCCCGTTACCCGCCGCTGGGGCCTAACCCGGACTCGGAGGGCTCGCGGATTAGCCGCCCGCCAGCCGTGGAAACGTGATAAGAGGCGTGCGGTTTGCAGAAGGAAATTTCTGATGCAACTCTCCTCCTTCGCTGATTGCCTCTGCGAACGCCGCCCGGAGAAGGCCCTGCAGCACGGGCCGTATGGAAATGAGGGTATTCGCTACTTTTTATTGTGTCCGTCCTCCCTGGGGATTGGAAGAAACGCCAACTTTTTTGTCCTTTGCGTGGACGGAAGCGTGGGGCACGGCAGGGCGGGCGCCACAGGTGACTGGGACCGGGTCCCGGCTCGGTCTGGCCCGTGCACTCCCAGGAACGCTTCCTGGCCATCCCGGTGCCCAGTTTAATTCAAGATGCAAAGAAAAGACCCAGAACCGGCAGCGCTCGCGAGTAAATACGCGCCGTTGCACAACTTTCTGGGTGCCGCTGTTTACGAGCTGGGCCGGGACACTTTGTTTCCGAAAGCGCTGAATCAGCGTTTGCAGCCCCCAGCTCCTGCCACGGGCTCCAGCCCTGGGCTCCGCTCGACGCCGCGCGCACTTTTACTCGCAACACATGTTCGCGCGGCAACAGGCGCCGGCTGGGCTTCCCAACACAAAGCGGCCGGTTTCTCCCGGGGGTGGACCCGGAGCCCCCCGTTTTCTTTCTAAAAGGAAAGTGGGGTAAATCTAGGCTCCTCTAAGCAGAAGACATTGTGGCTCCCGGGGGCGGGGAGTGTCCTCTAGGGGAGGATTTATTCAGGAAAAGTCCTGAAATCCAATGTGTTTCCAGGAACGATGGAGACGCGAGGTTTTTCTCTCCCAAATCAGAACTGGGGGTGACGGCACACACCGTGGGAGTCTTATTGGGGCGCCTTGAAACCCCAGGGCTGCCCGGCTGGTCTCCAGATCACAGGGGATCTGAGGGCAGCCCGCTGCACCCCGGCCAGCGGCTTGTGTAACTGAGAAGCGTGGCCGCTGGTCCTTCTGAAGCCTTTCGGTTTAGAACACGGGGTCACTCACAGCCTCGCTGCTTTGAATCCTCTGGAGCCCCTGACACCCACTTTGCAAGTATGGAAACTGAGGCTCCTGAGGGGAAACTGGCTGCCCAGGGGCACGGGGCCAGCAAAGCTTTGGATATTTTTTTAGTCCTGTGAGTTTTCTGCTTCTGCACGAGGGCTTCTGCCTCTGAAGCAGAAATGGCCAGAGAACCCCCTCTCCCCCTACACACACACACACAGCCCCAGCCACATGTCCGGAGAACTAGGAGGCTCTAGGACTGGTCCGGAGGCTCCCAGCTGTCCAGAGTTCGGCCTTTATCGCCTGGGCCATTATCAGTATTTTCTTTTGTCCACTCACTGTTTATACTCAAATACACATTTATTTCAGAAGGAAGCATTGATCTCCACAAAGTCATGCGTTTGATCTGCTAGATGTTTATTGTGATGAAAACAGTGTTTTAATAAAAGTTGTGTATCCCTGAATTGTCCATTGCTTATCTTATGGGGTCTGTACCATTTCGGGGGCAGCCAAAAATGCCTTTTGTGTGTGGAGTAGGGGCCTGGCCCTGGGCAGGCTCAGGCCAGGTGCTGGTCCAGCGCTGGGCATGGCGGCGGCCACCAGGCATGGGACCCAGGTCAGCAACGACCCAGCGACAGCCTCCACCAGGAGAGAAGAACGAAACCAGAATCCAAGGGCCGGTCCAAACGTTTTGATGTTGATGCTACGGCTGGTTCGAGACTTGACAATGTGTGGAGACCAGACTCCTGCCTGAAAAGAGACATCTGCTTGTCTCCGAGCTGTGGGAACTCTGGGCCGCCCATCTGATAAGACCCAGGACCTAGCCCTGGCCGGGGGCTCAATGGTTAGAGTATCGGCCCCCGGACCAGAGGGTCGTGGTTTTGATTCCCAGTCCAGGGCACGTAACCCAGTTGCAGGTCCAGTCCCCCGTGCCTCGACCAGGGCCACGTGTGAGAAGCGTCCAGTCCATGTGTCTCTCCTACTTCAATTCTCTCTTTCTCTCTCTCCCCCTCCTCCTCCCTCCTTTCCACTCCGTCTAAAAAAAAAAAAAAAAGGAATGGAAAAAATATCCTCGGGTGAGGATTAAAAAAAAAAGAACCTATGTCCTCGGAATTCTGCCCAGGCCTTCTCTGTGCGTTTGCAGTTGGTGGCACAGACCCCGTCTGTCCCACCAACCTAGCCTTGCAGGGACCCTGGGGCAGAAAATATTTGCCTTGTCTCATTTAAGTCATCGGTCTCCTGTTCAAAATTTAAATAAAACTTTCTCTGCGAGTGGAGTGTGTTTTTTTGAAACCAGTCTTATTTTTTGCTTCAGTCTAAGGAGGGGCGGCGAGGGAGCAGTGTAGACCGCCAGGCTACTTTTAGGCGAGGCGTGGGGGCCTGGGGACCTTCGACCAGGTCTGCGCTCATGAGCGTGTAACTGACCTCATGTTCCAGCCCTGGCTGGCATTTAATCTGTGTTAGTATTTTAGCCGCACACTTCTGGGGAGTCGTGTCTGCCCCCCGCCTTCTCCTTCTGGGGGAGACCCCTTTGCCTCCGACCACCTTCCGTGGCTTCGGAGCTGGTCGTGAGTGATGGACTTTTTGGTCTGTGCCCCTAGTAACTAGTAACCTTTTGAGCTCGGCGTGGCAGCGGCATTTTGAAAAACCCTAACTTAACTCTGGTGCCGTGTCACATATAGAAATTTTTTGATATTTGCAACCATAGTAAAACAAAGACTTATATTTTTGATATTTATTTTATCTATTTAAATGCCGTTTAACAAAGAAAAATCAACCAAAAAAATGAGTTCACGTGTCACCCCTGCCACATGTGTCATAGGTTCGCCATCACTGCCCTAGTTAGTGAGCACAGGGCCTATTAACCAGGTGGAGATGCGAGCAAGTGACCCTTAAAACCTTAAAGCCGGGTCATAGGGAGGCTGACATCCCTTTTAATTTTTTAAAAAAATACATTTTTATTGATTTCAGAGAGGAAGGGGGCGGGGAGAGAGAGAGATATCAATGATCAGAGAGAATCATGGATCAGCTGCCTCCTGTACGCCCCCACAGTCCTCTCGAGGCGGGATCCAGTGGTGTGCCTTTCTGTTTTGGGGACACGCACACTTTAGGGAGTGGGATCCCCTTGGGAGTGAGGGGAGCCTCGCTCGCCCAGGTGCCCACCACGCAGAAGGGGGTGTCTTGGTGGAGAGAACTTCTCTGGAGGCCCCTTCAGGCGCAGTCCTGCCTGGGTCCTGCCTGGGTCCTGCCTGGGACGCCCAGGAGGACGGTGGTCCGTCTTGACTGGGTGCCGCTGGGAAAGGAGACGTTAGTCCTGTTTTCAGCCGTCGAGTCTGAGTGTGGGTTTGGGGGAGGTGCTCCCTGACCGTTCAGCTCCTAAATTTGAGGCTCCTCTCGGGGTTGGAGCAGCTGCCGCGGATTGTGGGATTTGGCCTCCACGGCGGGAACGGGATCTGGGAGGAATGTGCTCCCTCCCTCTGCCCAGTACTGACCACTGCACACGGCACCAGCGCCTCGGTGTGACTCCAGCTGCTACCATTTGCTGGCTCGGTGAGCCTGGGCCAGCGAACTCGGCGCTCGGGCACAGTGGGGGTCGTGGGGACGGTCACCTTGACGCGCCGTGGGCAAGGTGGGATGCCCTTGGGGGGGTGTGGACCCTGACACGGCGCGTGGCGGTTAGGGCGGCTCGGAGATGCTGCTTCTGGCACGTCCACCCTTGGCTTTGAATGCCCTGCTTTCTATTAATCTGCGAGGTCTGCTCGAGAGAGGGCTGTGCTCCTCGCCTCTGTGTCCTGGTGCTCATTAGCGGTAGAAGGCCCCGGGGACGGGGCGGGGGGGGGGGCCCTGCCTGGAGCACCCGCCCCTGAGTGTGACCTGCCCACAGGGAGGCCAGGGCAGAGGTGGCTGTGGGGTGTCCGCCTCACCTGCGTTTCTGCGCCAGGGCAGCGGCCCGAGCACCAGCAGCTACGGTCTCCCTGGCACGTGGGCTCGTGGAGCAGCTGGCACAGAGCCGGGTGCCTGGGCCCTCGTCGTGACCTCGATGTCACGGGGCTGGAAGCAGGGTGGGCCCCGCAGCCGGGCCCTTCAGGGCCCCCAGGCACGGGAGGAGCCCTGGGAGGACAGGCCCTGCGGCCCTCGCTCCTCTGCGCTGGGCCTTGGTTTGCTGATTTGTTTTCTTAACTTTCATCCCGAGAGGGTCAGGGCAGGGGTCTCTCCCAGCTTTTTCTGAGTGGCGCCCTCCTTTAATATAAACATTTCATAAGACCACGTACCTAACGGGAGGAGTAACGTTGGGGTTCCTTGCTCCAGGAAACCCACGGCGACCGAAAGCCCCTAGAACCGAGGAACTTGGAGATCCAGAAGTTTGCGCAGCAGCCTCCTGCATGGAGGACCTGTCCTTTGCCCCAAGCAGATCCCCTCCCTCCGGACCTGGGCGCTGCTGGGGAGGGCTGCTCCCACCGGTGGTGGGACGAGGAGCTGGGTGACGCCCAGAGCCCTCCGAGCGCCCCAGGTGGCCAGCCAGGCTGTGGGGCGTGGCCCGAGAGCCTGCTCCTGGTTTTTTCTAGAACGCCCTTCTCTCTCCTGAAGAGTTGTGTGGGTCTCATGGAGACCCTCCCAGCTGTTTCTAGAGAAATGAGACTCTGAGCCCAAGGCCTGCATCTGGAGGGTGAGGGCCCCTGGGAGGAGGGACAGGCGGGAAGAGCTCCCAGCTCCTTAGCTGGGTCCCCCCTCGACTGGCCAGGGGTGTCCTCGCCGGACAGACCCGTCCATGGGAAGGTCCCCTAGTGTTCTAGCCCCTCAACTCCCAGGCACACTGTTTTCAGATGATTCCCCAGAAGGAAAGGCGGCTTATGAGTTGGGTGTTTTTTCTGTCTTTACCTTCATATTTCTAAGCAGGCGTCTGCATGAGGAATCACAAAATACCCCCTCCCCCTCCCCGTCCTCCCAGCGCCCAGTTTCCCGGCTTAGAAGGCCCCATCTGAATCCCACTCTTGTACTTCTGTGTCCCCCTTATCTCTTCAGCTGACATGGGCTGGGCTGCTGTGACAGCCCCCCGAAACCCTGCCCCTGGCTGCGATGACTTTCTCTGTCCTGTAGGACATTTTCTCTTCTCCTGCAGCTGTTTTTGCATCTGCTTTGTGGTTTAGGTACTTATCACTCCCTGCTCCCACCCCCACTCCAAACTGACACAGTTGTGCAAAGGTCCCTTCTCACACCCTTGGTATGTGGCCAGTTTTATCTTCTGGAAACATCTCTCCTTGAGGCCCAGTGGCCCCCAGGCTCTGAGTCCAGCGGCCGCCCTGGCCTCTTCCTTCTCCATCATTCCCTGCTCTTGGATCTCATGACTCCTCTTGCCTGGTTTCTTTCCAAAGTTTGATGGTGAACATTCCATAACAACTTCCAAAAAAGAGGTGCGTGCAGATTTTCTGAGGCCCTGCATGTCTGAAAATGTCCTTGGTCTGCGCTCACAGCTAATCGTTTGTCTGAGAACACACTTCGAAGTTGGACGCAGCTTTCCCTCGAAAATTTGAAGGCCCCCATTGTCTGTGGGCAGAAGGGGGCTGAGCGTGAAGCGAGTCCGAGTCTTGATTTTCTGTGTGTGAGAACTTCCCAGTGTTTCTGTTTGTTTGCTTTCCCCGCTTTCTCTTTTTCATGTCTGGGAGCTTGTAGGAGATTCTCTTTGTCTTTGTCTGCAAGCCCCTTGAAGCTGAGCATGGGCGGGGTCAGCATGTACGGCTCCGGGTACCTCCGGGGCCCCTGTAAACGGAAACCCAGATCCTTTCAGGATGGGAAAGGTTTTCGAGTTAATTCTTTAATTTATCTTCTGCCATTTTCCTCTGCTCTCTTCTGAGAATGGTTTTTATTTGCTGGTCAGCTGCCTGAACCGGTTCTCTCTCTCTTTTTAAAAATTTATTGATTTGCGAGAGAAAAAGGAAGGGGGGGAGAGCAGGAGGGAGGGGGGAGAGATCACTTTGTTGTGCCACTTATTGATGCATCATTGGGTGGTACTTGCATGTGCCCCGACTGGGGATCGAACCCACAACCATGGCGTGGGGACGACGCTCTAACCAGCTGAGCTACCCACCCAGCTTGGGTTCTCTCTTGATCTCCTCTTTTGTGTCTTTTGTGTTGTTTTAGGTTATGGGGCATAGCAACTTGACTAACTTTTCAAGTGGATTTTTCTATCTTCATTTTTAATTTCTATTTTAATTTTTAAGGACCTCTTTGTTCCTTTTTTTTGATTATTTTTTTTCTAAATTGACTTTTTTAAGAATAGCTTTAGATTCCTTGCAGAAAAGTTGAGTGGAAAATACAGATTTCCTATCTCCCCCCTCCCCTCGCCCCCAGCCTCCACCGCTTCCCTCACTCATCACCCCCAGGAGAGTGGGACGTGTGTTACGGTCGCTGAGCCTACAGTGATGAAATATCACCCCTAAATAATTATTCTTATTTTAGTGGCATC